GTCTAATACAGAAAACCTCCTTGAGGATGTGACATTTAAACTGAAGCTTAAAGGATGAGACAGAACTACCAGAGAGAACAGTGTAGGCCATGGAAGCTTTGTGTGCAAAGAATTTGGGGCAAGAAATGACATATTGTGTAGGTGCTAATGTCATAGAAATAAAAAGTAGAATAATGATTATTCAGAGGCATGGCTGGTTAGAGGGGATGGGGAACAGAGAGAAGTTGGTCAAAGGATGTATAATTATAGTTGGGTAGGAGGAATTCTTTAAAGTGTCCAGCACAGACAAATATATAGAGAAATAAGGTAGATGAATGCTTGTTGAGGGCCTGGGTGTGGGGAGAAGAGGATGGGAGAGCAATGGAAATGGCTTGGGTGCCAGTCAGTCATAACTGTCAAATTGATTGGGTTAAGAGACTCCTGGAGAGGTGATTGCATGGATCATGGGGCACTATACTCACCAGTGGGTTAATCCACTGAATGTGGTGTTAGGAGGTAGGGCCCAGTTGGGTGTAGATCCCTGGGGGTGCACTTTTGGTGCTCTTCCCCTGTGCTCTGCTTCCTGCTTCCTGGCTGCCATGAAGTAAGCAGCTTTACTCCACTATGCCCTTCAACCATGATGTCTCTGTAGTAGAGCCAGCTGATTACGGGCCGAATCTTCTGAAACCTTCTTAAACCTCTCCCCTTAAAGTTGAGTGATGGATATTGTGTCATAGTAATGGAAAAGCTGGCAAATACAACTTAATTGTTATGAAATTTCTTTTTTACGTGATGAAAAGGTTCTAAAATTGTTCTGATAGTTGCATGTGGTGATGGTTTCATATGTTCACTTCTTAGGACATACTAAAAATATTGGCTTGTACACTTTAAATGGGTGAATCTTATGATGCATGAATTATATCTCAATATAGCTGTTTTTTAAAAGTAAAATTAAGATAATAACATGTTCCAGATTTTCAAATACATTACTTACCACAAACAATATATCCACAATTTTTAACCAGTGGGAAGTATTCTCTTTAAGATTAGGAGCACTGTAGAAACGACATTCCAAGGAGGGTCATACCAAAGTGGTCTTTTCATGAGAGCTCCTGAAAATGATGTTTGAGAAGTAGCTCACTGGAAGACATTTTCAGTGAACTTTCAATTTCAGAGAAATTCTCTTTCAAGTTTTTTCTTGCTTTCATTTCTGAGAAATGGTTTGTAGTTTCAAAAACCCAACCCTGACACTGATAATGACAGTGTTGAGAAAAAAGTACTACAAAGAAAACCAAAAAGAACCCATAACCATTGGTTTTCCAGTGTGTTTAACAGGAGAGTCACTCACTTGTTTTTGTTTTTTTTAATTTTATTAACCACTTATTTCTTAAAAGCTGAAGAAAGCTGATCAGTCAGTGTCACTGGAGAAACAGATTTAATATAAAGCATATAAATATATAAGGATCTACAAGGTAGGCTTACAGTGGCCACCCACAGAGTCAGATGTGGAAAAGTGCAAAAGCCCTGTCTGCGTGCAGGAGATCTAAGGATCCAGACAGAAGTCGAAGGCCTGAAGCTCACTGTGGTATCCTATTCGAGTCCATACCAGGAGACCAAAGGGTCTGTGCTGGAAGCCAGGAGATGATGTCCAAAATGAAAATGGAGACTGGAGTGCCTCCGAAGAAACAGAAGGGAGACTTCCTTTTTCTTCCCCTTTTTTATTCCACTCAGGCTTCAAGCCTAATTGTTGGTGTCCCTCACTCCCAGGGTGCCCCTCACTCCCAGGGTGGGTCTTCAGTAAATCCCTTCAGCCACATGCCGAACTATGCTTATCCAATTAGTTAGGTTTTTCTTACTCAAACTGACACAACAGTGCACTATCATGAAAGTGTTAGAATCAAGTTTTCAAAGGTTCTTTTAAATATTACCTTCTATTAAATATGATTTAGTCCAGTCCCAGGAGAATTCAAAAATTTTCTTGACCCCATTAATGTGTTAGCCTATTTCCACTGAGGGCTGAACTTCTGTGCCATGGGTACTGAGGGCTGGACAATTTTAAGTGGACCCAGAACTAGAACAAGTCACCGATCCAGAGGTTGGGGTGGTGGATGCATGATGCTAGATTCAGTGGCAGGTCCTGGGAGAAAATTCAGCCTGGCAGACAGAACCAGAACTCTAAATGTTCATAAAGGTGTATAATAAGGACAGGCTGATCCTCAGTATCTGGGAGATCTGGGGTTGAGGGAGCACAGAAGAAAGCAAACCCAAGAGGTGGTGTTGAGAGACCCAAGCTGAGAGGACAGTGTCTCAGGATGCAGCTCAGTCTGGGATGTTTCTGGGGGTAGAACTGCAGGCAACTTATTCTGGTCTATGAACCCCTTAAACTTGACCTTCCACCTGCAGCTTTATCTTCAGGATGTGACATGTGGCTTTTCACTCTTAATGTTCCCATTACCCTGGCCTTTTGACCAAGCTCATTTGTATTTCAGACTCTTTGTCATTTATACTACATGTCATCTCCTCAAGCTTTCTCAGGACTCTAACATTATCCTATTTTCATTCTCTGCATGATCTTTAGAACTCCCCCTGCCCTATTTTCTAGATCCTCTCAGCTATACGCTCAAGGAGAGCAGGACACCTGGTTGTCTTGTTCCTTTTTTATCCAGCAATACCAGGCACTTTTTATAGATACTGGGATATCCTAGGTGTTTAGAAAATATTTAATGACTGAATGAACAGATGAATTAATAAACATTAACATTTTAATTAATTTAGTTGGAGGAATGGACAGATACAATTTTCTGTAGCTAAAACCATTTGAAACCAAATCCTTGACTAAGTAACAGGAGCCAGAGAAGAAAGTTGTCACCTTTATCAAAGCTTTCTGAAATTAAGAGAATGAAAACAGATACTAGGAGTGATGTAGAGGAGAAGAGGTGGTGGAGGATAAACGATTAGAAGAAGGTGGTAAGCCCTGGCTTGGACACTAGAGGGCAACCAGGATAATGCAAACCACCCTTGCTTTGAGAAATGTGAGAGAATAAACTGTACTTGGGACAGCCAGCTAAATTTTCATTTGGGTTCAGTTAAGGAAGATTTGGATAAAGCCATCTGCACAACAGTTGTATAAATAGTGGAATTTATTCCTGGTAGAGTTGGGAAAGTTTGGAGGGGAAAGAAAACGTCTTAGATATCTTAGAAGAATAGGGTATGGGTGAAGGGTCTAGCAGTAACAGGAAGGGAGATTTGTTTTGAAGATGGAGGTTCACAGAGATAATAGTCATAGCAGAAGTGGCTTACCTCAAATGTGTGACTTGCTGCAAGTTTACAGGGTGACCTGCATTACCTGGTCTAGTCACACAGAACAGGGGCCCAGTTGTCCTGCAAGACAGTTGCCCTCTAAAGCAGCTATGTGTCACTAAGAGGTTTTGTGCTAGGTACTATGCTAGGCCCTGGCAGTTGGAGTGGCAGTAGTTAAAAAGGGAAGTGGGACTGAAAAAAGAATACTGTGCTTCTTGACCCTTCTCTAACAACTCACTTAGTTCTACAGGCTACTCATTCTTCCCAAATAAGCCCTAGTGGATAAGCCCCAGCAGTGGGCAGTTCATCAAGGACTGTCCAGCCAGACTGGGTCTGGACACCTCCTTGTGGGTAGGCAGACAGTTTCTCTTAAAGGAGTAACGGGATGTCAAGTAAATGAATGCAATCCTGGGTCCAAAACTGAGCATTCCTTTGGGTTTCTTATGTATAATGCAGGTATTTTGGGGCTGTTCCCAAAGGTACAGCATAAGAGCACTGGTTAATGACATGATCTGTAGAAAGCTATTCAATGCACTCACCTCTGTCTTGAAAAGTGGGCTTTCATTTCCTTCTTTGACAAATAAGGATGCCTAGCCTTAGAGAAGCTAACTTGTCAAACACAAAAATGTCCCCAGCTTCAAGGCCAGTTTTTTGCAGTACTCCGCACCTCACTTAGTAGCCACAAAGGGTAAGACTCAGTACTGTTAGGAAAAATGGAAAAGGAAGCTCCACAGCCAAGGACAGGTCTTATTAGAGGCCTGAGAGGGACCCATCTGGTTGTAGGGATCAGAAAGGCCACTCCCTTACAGTCTATGGGGTTCTCACAGAGCAGCAGAGAGCTGCTATAACAGGAGTTGCTGTGATGCTGAGGCAGTCAGGGGAGCTGTGCTTACCTATGGGGAGGGGGAGAGCTCCCTCACGGACAGTGATCATTAGGCTGTCACGCTGCCAGCTGCAGCATTATCTGAGGGGCGAAAGCTGAGGTCTCTGGGCCTTGCTCTGGGAAAGGAAAACCTAAGTCCACAAGGCTTAAAGAGGAAGGGGCTGAAGGGGCTGTAGCAGTCTGGTTCCTTCAGGTATCACCAAAGTAGTTTGTGTCAGAGCAATGCTGCCTTGGGAAAACTGAAGATGGAGAAAAGGTGTTGGATGTTTGAATATTTATGAATATTTATTTATTATGTATGAATATTTTTGTTTTAACTAGTGTCTTTTGAGCAACCACATACAATACTCTGCAGACCAACGTGGTGGTCACCGATAAGAATCCTGACTGCACGGACGAATAAAGGAGTCCAATAAATCCAGGCTGATATGGGGTGGGAGATCAGGCAGAGGAGAGGACAGTCCAAGTGAACCAAGCAGGTGGTTCCGTCCAGGTGTATGGCAGACAGGGGCCGAGCATGAGGCAAGTGCTAGAGCTTGACTTGGTTCTGGGCCTTGTTGTGATTGGTCTTATGAAAGAAAAACTAAAAACCGGTCTTTGAATGTTTCCCGTAAACGAGCAGCATTTTTGTAATCGGGAGTTGGCTAAGAAACTTGGGTTGTTGCAACAGAACAATGTCTGGTGTTGTTTTCCAGGTTGGCTCAGTGGGCTCTCGTTCATTGTCAGACGGGAGGAAACAAATAACAACAGGTAGAGCTCCGGGCCTGGGAGAGAAGGGAAACTGGCCCTTCCTTTAGGAAAAGGGGGTGGGTGAGGTCTGTCGAGGACACAAGATTTCTCCCTCAGCCCAAGAAGATTTGGTTGAAATGAGAAAGTGAAACCCCTAGGCCTGAGAAAGCCTCTTCCCTTTTAGAAAACTAATTAGCAGAGTGGAAAAACCTCAGACCCCAGTCTACCCAATCCCTCGGGGAGGCAGGGAAGCAAAGAGGCGCAGGTCTTTGGGCCTCTTTCGGCGCCCTGGGCGGGGAGGAGACATGGACAAGTTTAAGACAGTGCTGGACTTGTACCTCAAGCACCGCAGCGCGCTGGGCTATGGCTTGGTGACTCTGCTGACGGCGGGAGGGGAGAAGATCTTCTCGGCGGTGGTCTTTCAGTGCCCCTGCAGCGCGGCCTGGAACCTGCCCTACGGCCTGGTCTTCCTACTGGTGCCCGCACTCGCGCTCTTCCTGCTGGGCTACGTACTGAGCGCGCGCACCTGGCGCCTGCTCACTGGCTGCTGCGAGCGCGCCCGGGGCTGCGCGCGCCCGCGGGGCGCCCTGGTGTGCGCGCAGCTGAGCGCGGCCGCGGCGCTCGCGCCCCTCACCTGGCTGGCCGCGGCGCTGCTTGGCGGCTCCTTCTACGAGTGCGCGGCTAGCGGGAGCGCGGCGCTCGGGCTCTGGCTGTGCGGAGACCGCGACTCCTCCTGCCCCGCGCAGCTGCCGCTGGTGCCCTGTGGCCAGGCCACGCCGCCCACGGTGCAGGACCTGCTGAAGGAACTCAAGGCGCAGTCGCAGGTGGGCGCGTGCGCCGGGGTGGGGCGAGGTTCCGCGGGCTGAGGTCCTGCGGGGGAGATCGGAGCTCTTCCGCAAACCGCGACACCTGGGAGGAGCGGGAATGGCTCTTGTTTCTAGCGGGCGCCGTGCGCGTACGCCGCTGGGCGCGGAGGGTGCGGCGTGGGAGCACGGTCACCTGTGCGGCCGGGCCCGCCTCCCACGCTGTGTGATTGCGTGCTCTGTACGGGGACACCAGCGTCCTGGGAACGCCGTCCGGCCCAGAGAAAGCAAGTGTTATTACAATTAAATGGGTCTGCCTGTGCTGAAGTTACCACCCACACAGCTCCGGGCCGACCGGGAGCGGCGCAGAGTTCCCGAGTGCACTCTTCTCACCCGAGCTGTGCAAACGCCGCAGTTTGAGTTCTGAGGGGCGACCTAGGGCTCCCTCACCCCGGGCCCTGGACTCAGGCTGAGGCTGTGGCCGACCTCACAAGCAAGTGGTTGTATTGAGGGGATTGCCCCTCACTCTTAAGGAGATGAGACTTTATAGTGTTGCTCGTTTGTCCTAATAACTGTGAATAGTTTAAAGTTTGCCTGAGGATCTTTAAAGCTGTTACTTATAGAATGATTACATTGCTGTTTTGTTGTGTTTTCTTAAGGTGCTAGGCTGGGTCCTGATTGCTGGGGTTATCATCCTCCTCCTGATCTGTACGTCTGTCACCCGATGTCTGTCACCCATTAGTTATCTACAGCTGAAATTCTGGAAAATCTACTCGGAAAAGGAGCAGCAGATCCTTAAAAGTCAAGCCACAGAGCACGCAACTGAATTGGCAAAAGAGAATATTAAATGTTTCTTCGAGGGCTCCCGTCCGAACGAGTACAGCACCCCGAGCATTAAGGACTGGCAGCAGATTTCATCACTGTACACTTTCAATCCTAAGGACCAGTACTACAGCATTTTGCACAAGTATGTGAATAGAAAAGAGAAGAGTAACAGCATCAGATCTGTTGAAGGAGATTCCGTGATTCCCGTCCTTGGCTTTGTAGATTCCTCTGGGATCAGTAGTGCACCAGAGTTGTAACTAAACAAATAGGAAAAAAATTCTTTTAAAATAATACTTCATTTTAAAAAATGGATAGTATGACTGCTTTTTGTCCTTCTAAATTGTGGGATTTCATATCTGAAACTGAAATATAAAGCTTAGCCTCTTTATTATATTACTTAACAAGTAAACAAAACCAAGGGAAAATGAAGCCCGAAAAGTGGCCGCAAAGCCTGGGGACAACTGCACTAGAATTCTTATATCCTTATTTTGGAGTCCTCACATAACACAACTTTTATAATGCTACTTTCAAATAAAAGACTTTAGTATCAAAGCAGTAAAAGAGCAATTGAACTTTAGACCTTTCCTATAGATTATCTGATGTTAATTTCAAACTCACATTCTAACCTGTAACCACAGCTCATTAAGTACCTAAAAACTTCTGCATTTTAGCCCACTCTGTGCCATAATGGAAACACATTAAACTGCCAGTCACGCTTTTTTGTGGCCATTCAAATATTGCATATTCTGGCTATAATATGGTTACTATACAAAAATTAATCATGAAAAGGAAGATAATTTTTAAAAATACAAAAATGGAGTAGTTTAGGACAGCCATAGACAATAACTTTTGGTTTTAGTTTGTGAGATTGGAGGAGACATTTTAAAGCTATTATGGTAAATGTAAAATATTCTGAAAGGATAGTGTTATGGACCCGCCATTCAATCTGTATGCAGCTTCAATAGAGTATGGAAGTCAGATAAGACTGGAGCTATACAAATAATTGCAAGTGTAAACATTATGTACTACGAATAAATACTAATAAATTATTTTAAAATTTTAAAACTGCAAATTGTGATCTGATTGGCATTAAAGAAGGGGAAGGAATTGGGGAAATTAGTGAGAAGCTGAAATCTGTAGAGTAAGGAGTAGAACAAAGGCTCTGAAGTGAGAACAGTTTTAGTAAGACTGACCATTAGAGGCCGCTGGGTAAATGAGGACTGGACAGCTAACACAATGCCACTAATGAAAGGCTGGTGCTAAGAGCTTTATTTTTATCCTGTCAGGTTTAGAGGGATTAGCCTGCTTTTTTTTTTTTTTTTTAAGGAAAAAAGGAATGGCAGGAAACAGCCAGAATGGAGCTGGAGAGACTAATCTGGAGGCCACTGCAGGGGAAATAGGTGGGCGCAGACTTCACTGGGGCTGCTGCTGATCACAATGGGAAACGTGGATTCTGTACGAGGATGTGACAGGATTCGTAGATGGAAAGGACATGAGGATTTAGTGAGAGCAATGCTACCTGTAGATAAAATTCGGTTACTGGATAATGCCAGGACTTTCCAGGAACACTTGTCTTCCTTCAGCTTGTCATTCCTGCCCATTTCTCAGATATAAGATTGCTTTCTGCATTTTTAAAAATGAGACACCTAAACTTGAAACTAAAACAATTGAACACTGATCATATTTAGCCCTTTTTCCTCTCTTGGCAGACCATTGTGCCTGCTTCCCTTTGCCCTTTTTTGCATGAGGCCATTAAAAGGAACTAGTCTGCAGGGCTGAATATCCTGTTGTTGAGAGTCATGTTTAACAAGAAAAGTGGCAGAAGAAACTGCACAATCAGTTTTTTCCATTCCCTAAAAGAATTCTTTTGAAAAACTACATCCTCTCTACTGTCATTTGTACTTCTTTTATTTCAACTTCCAATATCTGTGTATTCTTCGCTTTCAGAGCCTTTTTTCTGACCTACTAGGTATACCTACATCTTCGATAGTATTCACATTCTCTCCTTTTTGTTGGTTTATGCTCTACCTCTTCTTACACAGTCCTTAGTGATTATTGTGAAAATGTATATGCTTAAAATTTTAAAATCATAATACAAAATTGTGAGATACAGAGTAAAATTACCTCATTCCTTTGCAGTATATGTTTTCCAGAGGTAGTCTGTGTCTGGAAAAATATTATACTATAAATTGAGATGAGATAAAGGGACAAACTGCAAGTGCCTGGGTAAACTGAAGGCAAAGGCCTTGTAAACAGAGGTAAGACTCAGGAAATTGGAACCCAGGGGACAGAGGCCTAATTGGACCACAAAGAACAAAGGACAATTAAAATCTGCTGATGATGCGACACCTAGCCACAGTAGCAACTACATGTCCTAATTTTTACATTCCCATCACTTTAAAAACAACACCAGACATCACCGGCCAATGACAACTGCCCCTTTCACATGCCAGAGCTATGAATAAGGCCCTAGGTTTAGGTGCTTCCTTGATGTCCTCCCTGGGAACCCCTCTCAACTAGCAAGAGCTTTTCTTTGTTCTTTCTAATAAGCCACACCCAGTTCATTCCCCACCCACCGCTGCCCTGTCAACTTCATTCTTCATTGTTTTCAGGATAAGAGCCCAGAGGGAGAAAATTGGTTACAAAATGTTCTATAACTTTTCACATAAAAGATGAATAAAATATTTCATGAAAGCTTCCATGTTAGTATATAATAATTTACACTGTTAACAAATCACTGCATAGAATTCTGTTGGTCAGTAGGATATGATCCCTTGTTTTTGGTCAACACACACAGACACACATACCCCTACACACATTTGTAAAGTGTATAAAGATAAGCACCACATTTCCAAATATGGTCACTTCTGGAGTCTAAGTTTAGTGCACAAACCTTTTAAAAATCACATGCACTTTTAATCTTTGGATTTTGGGGGAATGAATAATAAATAGTAACCATGCAACTAGAAAAAGGTTAAAAATAGTCCTTATACTAGTGTGGAGATTTATAATCAAGAATGCAATTTAGCATATTTAACTTCATTTCATTTTCATGAGTCTATATGCTACCCTTGAAACATCACTCATGCATAAGAGTAAGAAATCAAAAAGTGACGAGGTTACATTACTAGTCTGAGATCATGTGGTCTGCTAAGACAAAACTAAAGCTAGCAGGCTGTTCCTCTCTAAATTATGTGGTTAAATATGGCCACATCACTGATTATTGGACCCAATTTTTCCCTTCTAAGTCCTTGTGCCTTTGTGAGCAGAAGTGATACAGATGTTCTCACTAACTCCCAGTGTATTACATTTCATTTTGAAACTTGGCAACTGCTGGTGGCTAAGGTCACTGTGAGGAAGTGCAGTGTGACCAAGAGACCCAGTAGTGTTGTCTTGTGGTGGGAATGTGGGCACTGCTGTTGCCACAGCGCACCAACCCTCAGGACCTGCACTCAAATGGGCTGTAGGATGGGCTGGTTCAAGAAGAATTTCTACACTCTGTGTGCTTTTATTTGCTGGTTTACCAAATAATTCTTCAGAATCCCTCGAAGCTTTATGCTATCCTGAAATTAAAATTTTAAAAGGGAATTCAGACACAGGATTAGCTGTTAATATTTGCTGAACAACAAAAATAATTGTTATTCAAGGTGATTCTTCATTGTACTGAGTACTGGGAAGATAATTCCCTTTAGAAGTCCTAAAATTAAGCATGGTCTCCTTGCTCCCTCTAAAGCCATGGCCAGAAATAATGCGTTATTAACTGATTAAAGATGCAAGTCCTGAGGGTAGCACCCAAAAATAGAATTAACTACATAACCAAACGTCTGTGGCTGAAAACATCTTGGAACCCATCAATATGTGGAACTCCCTCCAAGCACCTGCTATGTGTCAGATCCTGGTCTACCTGGAAAGCTAAGCCTTTGGTTGATCTAATTTTTATTTCTGCCTCTTCATTGCCTATGTGTGAAATATCTGTTGTGAGTGGCAATACAGACTGTGGAACTGATAACATCATATTATTATTCAATGAGAGAGGCCTGAATAAGAAAGAGATATATCCTGTCAAATGCTTTGCTACAACGGCCAAAATAATAAAAAGTTCCAAATGAGAGAGAAATTGTATGAGATCAGGTAATTTATTGTCATTTCAAAATTTGTGAGGTATCCAACACAGAGAAGAGTATGCGAAACAATTATATACACTTGAAAAAATAATTACAAGGCAAAAATCTGTGAAACCACCACAAAAAGGAAATAAATAATGTTAGCAGCACTCCCAAACACCTGTCCCATGTACCTCTGCACAATTCCAACTCTCTCTTCTCAAAGCGGGACATAATATTGTATTAACTCTGATTTATAGTTTTACCATGTATGTATGCATTCCCAGACAGTTAATGTTTAGTTTTGCATGTTTTAAAAATCTTTATGAGAAAGAAATCATCCTCTAAGAATGCTTTGTGGTCTTTTTTCTGTTTTCATTTGAGAGATTCATCCATATGTTGTCTAGAGCACCTTGTTTTGACTGCAGTATTTCTTCATGTGAATATTATCTCAAGTTAGTCATCCGTTTAGCCACTGATCTGAGCTATTACCAGTTTCTGGTTCTGATGAGCACTGATGGAGTAAACATCCATGGAACTGTACTCTGTCACATATGTGCAAGTGTTTTTGCAGCATTTGTTCCAAAGAATAGGTAGATGCACAAGGGTATGTGCACGTTCCAGTTTGTTAGATAAGCTTATCTAGCTTATCAGTTTACACAGGAGTTCTTACTGTTTTTTGCTTCTGCAATCCTTGGTATTTCTTTTTTTTT